TTAAACAGTCCCATTGTTGTAGTCTTTCAATTAAAAAATTGGGGTTAATCTTAAAAACAATTTGGGAGAACATTTTAAAACAAATTTGAGGAAGCACTTCTTTACACAGCGTGTAGTCAGAGTATGGAATAGTCTTCCTGCTATTGTAGTGGAAGCTAAAACCATGGGTTCCTTTAAATCAGAGCTAGATAAGATTTTAACAACTCTGAGCTATTAGCTAAGTTCTCCCCAAACGAGCTTGATGGGCCGAATGGCCTCCTCTCGTTTGTAAATTTCTTATGTTCTTATGGTAGAGTCACACAGTACATAAATTATATGGATAAAAGTACTGGGACGCACCTCTTAATGATTGAATTCAGGTGTTTACTCAGACCCATTGCACAGGTGCATAAAATCAAGCAGTTACCCATGCAGTCAGGTTTACAAACATTTGTGAAAGAATGGATAATTCTGAAGAGCTCAGTGTATTCAAGCAACAGCAGGGTTGCTGAGTTCTGAGGCGCATAGTCTGTAAAAGTCGCCAAAACTCTGTTGACTGAGCAGAGTTCCAAATTTCCACAAAAAGCTGTGCTGGGAGCTTCATGCTAGCCTCACTTATTATTATTATTTTATTTAGTGACTAATTGTCATTGTTCACACCACAGCACACAACAATGAAATGTGTTCTCTGCATTTAACCCATACGTGCCAATGTGACATAGCAGGGGGCAGCATATTCAGTGCTGGGGGAGCAGTGCTTGGGGGAGGTATCTTACTCAGGGTACCTCAGTGGTGCTTTGCTAGTCAGGGATTCAAACCTGCACGCTTTTAATTACAAGTGTGCTTCCCTAACCATTAAGCCACCACTGCCCACATTAAGCCACCCAGCGTCAGATGAAGTGGTGTAAAGCATGCTACCACTGGTCTCTGGAGCAGTGGAAACGTGTTCTGTGGAGTAACAAATCACACTTGGGGCAGTGTGTGGCTCAGTGGGTTAAACCTGTGTGCCTGTAATCACAAAGTCACTGGTTTAAACCCAGCCTCAGCATGTCTGTGGGTCCTTCAGCAAGGCCCTTAACCCCCAGCTCCCTGGGCACTCTAACAGGTGGCTGCCCTTTGCAGACAGCTTACTCTACAAAGAGCAAGTTGAAGGAGACATAAAAAAGAATTTCCCCACAGGTACAATAAAGGGTTAATTATTATTATTCTCTGTCTGGCAGACTGATGGATGAATCTGGGTTTGGCAGATGCCAGGAGGATATTACCTGTCTGTCTGCATTGTGTCAACTGCAAAGTTTGGTGGAGGAGGGATAATGGTATGGGGTTGTTTTTCAGTGGTTGCGGTAGGCCCCTTAGTTTCAGTGAAGGGAACTCTTAATGTTTCAGCTTATCAAGACATTTTGGATTCTTCTATGCTTCCAACTTTGTCAGAACAGTTTGGGGATGGCCCTGTTTTGTTCCAGCATGTCTGTGCCCCAGTGCACAAAGCAAGGTCCATAAACATGGTTGGGTGAGTTTGGTGTGGAAGAACTTGATTGGCCCACACAGAGCCCTGACCTAAACCCCATCAAACACCTTTGGGATGAACAACAATAGAGTTTGTGAGCTAAGCCTTCATGTCCAACATTAGTGCCTGACCTCACAAATGCTCATATGGATAAATAGACAAAAATTCACAGACACAAAATCTTGTGAAAGACCTTCCCAGAAGAGTAGCAGCTGTTATAGCTGCAAAGAGACCAACTCCATATTAATGCCTATAGATAAAGAATGGCAAGTCATAAAAGTTCCTGTGGGTATAATTGCCAGGCTCGTTAATACTTTTGTCTATGTAGTGTATCTTCTGATGCTGAACTTGCTCCACAATACGTGCTGATTATAAACCTCCATCCATGTTCGATAACCACTTTATACAGTTCAGGAAGCACTGTTTTATATTTATTTACATAATGGCAAAGTAGAGAAGTAGAGAACTCATTATCAGTCCTGAATTTATGATTTGAATATAAATTTTATATAAATCAATATGTAAAAAAAATATTCTTTGATGGGGAAAAAAAATCAATTTCATTTGAAGAATTTTCCAAACTAAACATTTTATAATCATTTAAAGGAAACATGCCTACAGAATAGAATAGAACAAAATACAATAGAATAGAAATAATAGAATAGAATGATACTTTACTCATCCTATTTTTTCACCTATCCCATTAATCTCCCCATGAGACAAAGACACATACACAAGCAAGCTTGGCGGTCACTGCACAGGGTGCGAAAATTTCACTAACTTTCAAGAAATGCATCACTTTTTATTTTATTTCCAGCTGCTAACTACCTAAATAATGCCAGTACTTGAATCCCATCCAGGTTATCCCCAGAGCTGAAGGACACACCTTGGTTTTCTGAGCTCTGCTTCTCTTTCTCTTCTGTCTTTATAATGCCAGTTGGCGCGGTTTTAGGGTTCGCTGGGGTAAAATGCAAACAAGTCACAGCTCGCAGTCTCGTTCTGTAGTATTAGTTATCTTGCTAATCTAATGGGATGCATACAACCCCCTGTTTACCAAGTCAGAACAGTTTGGCTGTACTGTTCCAAAGAACAAACCCAGGATAGAGGGGCTCAGTGAACGTGGTCTGGACCCTGTGCAGGAGGGTCACTGTGTCAGAGACGCTGTAGAAGGACAGAGTTCCTGCCCTGTGATCCAGGTACACTCCTATCCTGGAGGAGGGGGGGCCAGATACTGCAGTTTCTACTTTATTGTGCTGGAATGAGTAACTGGAGCCTGAGCAGTACAAACGCCAGGACTTGTCATTGTATCCAAGCCTGCTGTCATCACCCTCTCCTTTCCTGTTGATCCCTTTATACGTGACGGCTATAGCGACCACCCGCCCGCTCCACTCAACCTCCCAGTAGCAGCACCCAGTCAGACCCTCTGTACACAGCACTTGGGGGCGTACGTCAAACCTCTCCTGGTGATCAGGATATAACTGTGCCTTTCCAGTCATTGTCACCACTCTGTTCCCCTTAGACAGACGGAGTTCTTCGTTTGCTGTGTTGGAGTCCAGAGTGAGCTGACAGTAATCTGATGGAGGAGAAGATAAGAAGGTGATGATTTGTTCTCATTCACTCCTTATATTAAACAAGATCGTGTGCTTTTGGGTAATGTAATGCTTTGAAACATAAAGCTAATTTCTGTAGTAGGTTAATATTCTGTAAAGATTTTTCATCTTATGTAATAGCATTTCTTACATTTTTGAAAAATACATTTTAGAGGAACTAATTTATAATATGACTGATAAAAGCCTTTAATAAATGTTTTTCTGTTAATTTTTAAATGATAATATTCTCAGTACGGACACCTCACAGAACAACCTCATAAGCACAATAATATTAAACATCAGTAGTCACATTGCAAACAGATTCAAATGCTCCTGACATAAACAGCTCATGTAAATGTGAAAGGAGGCAGAGGGAGAGAGAAAGAGCAGCTCCACTAGCAGAAGAAAACGAAACACAATAAAACACACTCCACCTCATACAGGGAGAGAGAAGCGTGTGTGTGAACAGACTCACATTGTAAGAATTCTGCTCTGGTCCTGGGCACTAATGGCAGTAGGATGGTGTCTTTGGTAACTAGAAGGAGACAGAGAGAAACAGGGATGTGAGTAAAAGGAATTTACTTGTGGGAGATGGACTTCACTCACTGTGGAGACAACAGCAGTAGGGTATTATTACTGTGGGGACAACTTTACTACAGTATGTGGGATGACAACAGGCAGTTTAACAAACCGCTAATCATTCTACATTAAACATATTACATATTTTTGCAGTGTGTAATTTTGAAGAAACATGATTCAGGTTTTGCAACCTGTAGAAGGTGGAGCATCTTTAAAGGTATTCATAAAGATTTAATCTAATGCTGACAGTAGGCCTACTGCATACTCTCTCTGCATGGTCTGTATTAACATGAACAAATTGGAAAATTTATTTATTTATTAACCTGCATGACGAATCTCTTTTGTTTTCTTTTCACAAACATTCTCCAGTTGATCTTTCAGTGCAGAAACCACCTTCCTCCCGTTCTCAAAATCAAAACATGGACTGACAGAGATTCTGGGTCCAAATGCAGCTTCAGGGGTAACAGGAAGACCCTGGCAACTCTACAGAGAGACAGTCTGATTAAATAGTTCCATCAAAACAAATGTGTATTGTAATCAATTTAAAAAGGATTATTAAGTTCAGATAAATGATAAACAATTTGTAAAAAAATTCATAAATACATATGAAAATATGCATCAATTTCAATACTCTGGTTTTCTTATTGCCGAAGTACCTGTTCTGTTACCTGGAGGAAATGGATGTGATCCTCTCTGTGTGAAAGCTGCTCCAGCTCAGAGTGTCTCCTCGTCAGTTCATCAATCTCCTGCTTCAGTCTCTCCATGTGTCCTTCAGTCAGACTCACTGCAGCCTTCTCCTGATCTCTGATCAGCTTTGTCACCTCAGAACATCTTCTCTCAATGGAGCGGATCATCTCAGTGAAGGTCCTCTCGTTGTCCTGTACTGCTGACTGTGCTGATCTCTGTTGGTGACACAGGGAGCAGAGAACAGTAAATTACAATTGACCCCTTTTGAGACCCCAGAGAGCCTCATTGTACAATAGTGATGTGAGCTGACAGGAGGTATAAAAACAGCACGGGGCTGGGATTTGGAGCTGGATGCCTCAGGTACTGAAACCCAGCCAGCACTGATTGGAAATGATCACCCATTAAGCTCATACACTGAGTCTCTTGGAACCGCACGGAGTTTGCCGGTCATTTCCCGCAGGTCACCGTGATGCCTATGGCTACTGTGCAATGTAAATGCCCTGTTGTGTGTTGCTTCTTTATGATCGCTTAATTTAGCCATGCAAGTGCTGCTATTTTCACGGCAACTAAAACTGTATCAAAACTGTTTTATTTTTTTGTGGAGCGATCCTGTGGTTTTTCTTTGCGGATGTCTAGACTTTTATTTTGAAATTGCGGCGCTGCTATCCCCGTAGCGTAAGCACGTCGGACCGGCACGACAGTACAATGCCAACGGAGCAGAAAATGGCGTTTACTAAGTTAGAAGAGACATTTTTCCTTTTTCTTTTAGTACCTGGCTGATTAGGGCACAAGGTCTGTCAGTATTTTGTTGTACTTGTATAATATTAGATGGTTCTTAACCTCTTTATTGTTCATATGAGTTTTAAACTTTAAAAGTGCTATGTTAGCAAACTGCTATTTTGGATCAATGCTCCGTACTCCTGCGTTGCCTTAATTTCATGTATTCCGTATAACTTAATTCAGTTAATAAGTGCGTTTCATGGAGGTATTCGCGTTGTTTCCCCATTTACAAAATTTGTAAGAGATTATCGTTAAATAGCTTATAGGACTATAGGTCATAATATAAAGGGAATGTAATGTCTTTTTGTTTTGGTTCCTTCCCCCCTTTTTCTTTAGCTCTTTGGTTCTGTTCACCGTTTATGTGCATCTCAATAAAACCCCTTTATGAAACATCAGTTGAGAGTTTCACCATCATTCAGCCAGGGATGCTATACACCACTTTTACAAAATAATTGTTTGCAACACTTAAAGAGGAAATAATATTGTAATCTTCAGTATTACAACCAATATAAGGCCTTTATGGATGATGTAATCAGTAAGGGTGATGCTGAGCTAGCACCATAGACATGTGATGGAGAGATTGTATTCTGTCATCATAGCTTCCTTGTGCATGTGGCTCCATTCATCCTGAGTGGGAGGTGTGTTCTACAGGAGTTTTGTCACAGAAATGCAGGATGGGACGATCTACTTCCTCAGGACTTAAGTCCACGGAGGGAGGAATGGAAGTCTGGTCTCCTAAGGCTTAGAGGGCTCTCAATCTCAAGATCTTATCACCCATGAGACTTCTGTAAGATTGTTAGAGGAGAATTGCATCATTCCTCAGACGCTTGCAGTGTAGGATATGGTGTATATTCCTACCGTAGGTATAAAAATGACAAGAATGAAGTTCACTGCTGTTTTGTTATGACAAAGGCCAGTGTTGCTCCATTAAAGGTTAGAAGTATTCCTCATTTGGAGCTTTCAACCACTGTGATTGCAGTCGGACTGAGTGTTCTGAAAGGAGAACTCAACATGAAGATTGATGAGGAATTCTTTTGGATAGATTTCCAAGTCACTTTAGCCTATATTAATAATGAAACATGAAGATGTCACGTATTGTTCGTCAATCGTGTCCAGATGATCAGAGAAAATACAAGGTTCATTCAGTGGCATTATATTGATACTACTGAAAACCCAGCCGATCATGCCTCAAGGGGTCTTCGTGCATCAGATATGCATTCAGCAAACTGGTTAACAGGTCTGAAATTCTGCTTTTTGAGCATGAGGCTGCGGCTTTTCTCAAAACGACAGAAGCATTCACATTTGTCTTATATGATATATAATGATACATTATGATAATACTTTCGTAAATATAAATTACTTATAGGTTAATATTTTTCATTTAGATATTTCTTTAGCTGCATTTGAATGAGGTGGTCCATCGCGCGCTTCTGTGATGTCTTAATTGCATAATTTACATCTTCCTCAAAGTCATTCTCTACAATGAGATTACATCTCCAGTCAAATGGTATGCTTTCCGGAGTTTTCTTCAGTGTCTGAGATTGGATGTAAGCTTGAAAATCTATTGGGATTCTTAATTCTTTCATATATTTTTCGTAGTAAATATCACCACGCCTTTCCAGATCTTCATAAACTTGTTATATTTTCTCCGATTTACATATTATAGCCTGCTGAGTTCGGAGTGGTGAGGACATTTTGCGCTGCTCAGTCAGCACAGTTACAACTAGTGGAGAGTGATGGGCAGACAACTGCCGAGCCAAACGAACTTGGGTGAGGGTGAAGACTCGTTACAGAACTGAAGAATCTTGTGATATTAGTCACCTTTGCACTGTTACGTGTCCTAATGATTTAAAACTAAGAACCCCCACCGAAATTGTTTTTCTTTATTTTTTGTAAGTACTGGTACTTGAAGTTTTGTTTTTGTGCTAAATGCTTATATACTGAAATTACATAAAAAATCGTATCTCAAACCCTCTTCTCTATTCATTGCAGCTCTTTGTAAATCTTAGGTCAGACATTTAGGATAAAATGGCTCTTTGCTTTAAAAAGGTCGCCGACCTCTGATCTAGACCTTCAATTATAGAAAGGCCAATTCAAAAGTTAGTTTTCCTTCTTGAAAGTGTATAATCAAATCAGAGTCCTTAGAGTAATATCATGTGAGCCTGTAGTTTTAATAGTTTAGTTAATGATTTGAAAATCAAGTATGATTAATGGAGTTCATTCATCATTAAATGATTGGTGGGAGTGTAAATGATCATTTAAGTTTGTATTTTGACTTGGGCTCTAATTTATTGGTGTGATACACAATAGAGGAAACATTTAAGCACCAGTTGAGATCCTTTCATTTCAGACACTCAAGGGCCTCTGACCCATAGTGACCTTAAACCTAATTAAACCTCAAAAGACTCAAGTTGCCCATCTCTGAAAGAGCCTCAGTTCAACCTCTTTCAAGCCAGCTATTGTCTTCTCTTCCAGTTCATACTCACTGTTATTGAGTCCACAGCCTCTCTCAGCTCCTGCAGCTCCTTCTCTTTCATCTGAATTCTTTGCTGAAATTCCTCCATTTGTGTCTACAAAAAAAAAATATGACAAAACAAATTTGTTTTATTGACAGATATTATTCTTTAATCATCCTACCCATGTTTCATATAAAATCTTTCAATGGGGTTAAGGTCAAAACTCTGTGGTGGCCAATCCATGTGTTCCTCATGCTTCCTGGACCACTCTATCACCATTCGAGTCCGATGAATCATTGGCTCTGCTTGATGATTTAAATTCAAACAGTGACAATTTTTGGCCAGGCAGTGTATTTGAGAGTTTCTGTCCTGACCTGTTTCTCTGCCCTTCTTGCAGCAGCAGAGACTCTATCATGGCCTCTGTGTTCATACGTCGTACGCAGATAACAGACACACTGCTGGTCGGTACGGCAGTAGACCTCCAGGTGTTTGTCATTTTGGGAACAGACATTGTCCTGTGTGGAAAATAAAAATAAAAATATCACTACTACTATGATTTCTAATCAACCAACCCTTGTCCCTTACTGAAATATTTATTTAGGTTCTTGAAAAATAATTCTAGTTGAGACTCTGTAAGCTAAAATTTCTTTAATAGGCAGGAAAAGAAGCAAAAGCAACAGTGTCCCCGTCCCAAGGTGGTGACACACCCAATGAAGAAAAACAGCAGTTTATATACTTTTTTTAAACTTCCCTAAAAGCTTATTGACATTATGATTGCCTACCTCTCTAAAAAACAAATAACCTATCAAGAAGCTGCTCATTAAGTGTGATTGGTCATTACTTCAAGAGGACTGTCAATTATAATTTGTTGCTACCTCAAAAGGCACATAACTTGCAATTAAAAGAAAGACAGCTGTACCAGTTATGACCGGTTTCCCCTGTTCACTCCATCATGTGACTTAAACACCCCTCAATGTACATTTCTTATCATAGCACAATCTGTGCTGCCTCCTTGCTTTGAAACGGAGCCCATCTCCTATTGAATCTCTACCCCCATAGTTGAATATTATTGCTACTACTATTATTTTAAGCTTATATCAGAATCAGAATTCAGAAACAAGTTCCCTGTTTGTCTCTGTTTTTTCCTATTTGCCTTGTCAGTGACCCAGACACCGCGTGGCTCGACCCAAAGCGCTCAGAAGATAAGCTCACACATCTTGCATAATTAGCAGGCAGTACGTCACAATCATCTTCATGTCTAAGGCCTAAGACATTGACAGCAACCACATAATGCCTCCCTCCCATCCTATACCAGCAGCTCACCTTCCACACCTGCAGACGTCCAGCGGCATCAGTCAGCTTGTGCTTCTTAAAAGCTGGAGACTCATAGTGAGGCTGGAGGTGAGTTTCACAGTAAGAGGCCAGACACACCAGGCAGGACTTGACAGCTTTGTGTTTTCTCCCAGTACAGACATCACACTCCACATCTCCAGGTCCAGCATAATGGTCAGCAGGAGTAGCTGCTTGTAGTCCAGTCTTCTTCAGTTTCTCCACCACTTCAACCAGTATGGTGTTTCTGCCCAGAACAGGTCTGGGTGTGAAGGTCTCTCTGCACTGGGGGCAGCTGTAAACTTCAAGATGGTCCTCCTCATCCCAGCAGCTCTTAATGCAGCTCATACAGTAACTGTGTCCACAGGGAATAGTCACTGGATCCTTCAGTAGATCCAGACAAATTGCACAACTGAACTGGCTCGGATCCAGTGTGGAACTGGCTTCTGCCATTTTACCATGAACACTGATAGGATTCAGTCTTGTTTTCTCTCTAAGTCGTCTGTGTGTGAGAGTGGGAGGAACTTCCTGCTTCTCAGGCTGCAGTAGGTGTGGTTTTGGACTGAGGCCAGACTGAGAAGAGCAGACTGGACAAACACTGGAGTTGGAGTATACTCTATGAATAAAATAGTATATTTTATACAAACTATACACACAACAAACTTTTATTTAGTTTTTGTGAGTATTGATACTGATATTGCTTTTACCCCAAAACAAGCTATAATCCTACATTTCCATGATATAGATAGTAATTTGGTAGAAAGGTAGAAGAGAGCAGTTATACTGAGAATGAATGTCTTTGCCTGTGTGGATTTTTCTCCAGATTAGGCACATTTACAGCAAAATGGTGATGGGATTTAAAGCTGTCCTGAGGTATCAGGTACAACATGCAGGTATCATGCAGTTATAGATTGACTGTGTGAAGTTTGACAAACAAAGCTTTTATAAGTAAAGTCAATCCACAAATTTGTGTTTTAAAACTTTTAACATAATCCACATGAAAATGGAGAATTTAGTGCATAAATGTCAGATTTCTTCATTTTGTTTCTCTGTGTGTGCTGGGAGTGTATCTGTTTTAGGAAGGAGACTCAGGTGACCAGGTTCTAAGTGATTATTAATTTGCCACCAGAAAGTTTTCCAGAATGTAACTATGTCAATTTATTCTACATATTCATTAAGCACTACTAAGTTAAAATATCAAATACATGCCTAAAGTAACAGGATAAGCTTCAGCCAAGCCCAGAAACAGAAATATTGAAACTGAATTTTTTTCCAACAGATTCCAATAATCCCCTTATCAAGTACAGGCTTACAGCATGGAACCTTTCAAAGGAAGCACAGGGCAGAACTGGAGTGCTGACATTCAGGGACTCCCCATGCCTGCGTTCCCACCTGCCTCTCCCTCCTACTTACTGTATGCTGCCATAGCCATATCTGCCGGAGCTTACATATTACACTCATCTAACCGTATTTGCTGCCTCTAGTCTCCCAGACTTTGCCTGATGCACTTTTTAATTCCCCCTCCCCTCCTGGGGTGGGCTACCTGGAGACCCCAAAAAAAAATCAAGATGTTCTGCCTACCCTGCAGCCTGTGACACCTCTGCACCTGACTCTCAAGCTGGCTGCCACAGTTTCTTGGTTCTCCTGTCTTTGTTAACTTCATGGGTTTAAATGTGTGTTTCAGCGCCTCAAGCTAAGTCCACGCTATCTGATTCTAGCCCCGATTTTCTGCTCACCGAGAAAATCCCCAAATCGGAGGCAAATCGGTGCACGATCAGTGCTGGCAAAGTGGTGCTCCATCTCTATATGTGAAGTTATCAAAGATGCGACCTGGCTGAGTTGCCCATGTGCTGCAGACTCCCACTAGATGTTTGGCGTGCTTGATGCTTAGACCTTGTTGGCGACTCCAAATCCTATTGGCGTGAAAAGTGTCAGAGTCACAGCCAATGAGAGTGCAAGACACGGGGAGAACTGAAACCCGAGAGAGGTGTTAGTAAAACTGATTGATTGATTGATTGACAAGGCAGGGACACCCTGGATGGGATGCCAGTCCATCACAGGGCAAACACTCACTCACAGGCTGAGGACAATCAAGAGACACTAATTCACCAAACTGCATGATCTTGGACTGTGGGAGGAAACCTGAGGAAACTCACAGGAGCACGGGGAGAACATAGGATACTAATTTATAGCAGAGCACACACTCACACACACAATCACACAGTAAGGACAGCTTAGAGATCACAATTGCCTGACCACATGTTTTCAGTCTCTGAAGGAACGAGGGGAAAATCCACGTTGGGAGAACATGCAAACTTTTAGTCACAATTTATTGCTACCGAATTATGAATTTCATTCTTGTGACGTGTGTTGAAATTTAAGCTCAATTAAAGAATGTTGACATATAGGATTTACCTGTTTCCCCACCCTTTACCGAAGCAGGCCTGGTCTCTGTGCCACGTGGATATTTCACAACCAAATTCATCATATATGTTTATAAATAATTCTAAAATGTTCCTGCTCTGACCTGTTTCCCCACCCTTAACCTACAGTACATAGGTATGATTAATGTGCCTTCAAAACTGACCTACTTGCATGCATACAGACACATAACTTTACGATTACTTCAAGGATCTCTAATTGGGATCCACCTCCAGCCAATCCTCCCTCCTCCCCCAGGTATGTTCTTGTATCAAACGTGTGACCTTTCATATGTTATTCTTTGTTCAAGTAGCTCTGCCTGTAAATAAAGCTTATTTTGGATAATTGAATAGCAGACATGCATCTGCTTTTTGAATCATTTCCAGGGTTTTGACTGCACAAGTGGGTAAAACTGATAGTAGAGTTGCACTATTTCATCATAAGATATCCAGTGCATAGACTAGTAGTTGAGCTACATACTCAGACAAAAACTTCCTGATGTGATACAGGGGGAATCTGCAGGACAGGGAAAGTGCTGCTATGTACTCAGCAAAGGACAGCTGGTCATATACCATTAGCCCCAGGATCCTGGCTGAACTAAATGGAGACAGTGTAGATGATCCAAGCTGAACAGCGATGTCATGGTGGATGGTAGGGCTGGCATGGTAGACAAGAGGTTCGACCTTGGAGAGATTTAACTAGAGGTGATGATTGTTCATTTGGGCTACAGTGTCAGCAAGGCATGCGGAGATCCAAGCAGAGAACATGGCATCTTTAGGAGGGAAGGTATATCTGGATATTTTTAGTGTAGTAGTTGTAGGAGAAGCCATGCGACTGGACCTAGAGAAGTAAGTTAATGGGAGAAAAGGAAGGGACCAAGGATAGAGCCTTGGTGGGATATCACTTGTTTCCTGATGTGACTCTTGATGTGACTCCACATGTGATTCTGCACCCCAACACACTTGGAATAATCTACCTGAAAGGTACAAGTCAAACCAGCTCCATATGATTCCAAGAAGAGAGAGCTTTGTCAGGAGGATATGGTGATTTACTGAATGCTGCTGGAGCGGTCTAGCAGGAACAGGAGAGATGACTGAGCATCAGCTTTTGTGACTCTCAGAGCATCCATGACATTCATGAGGGCAACCTCAGTGTCCAGTTCTGAAGTCACACTGGACTGGGTCCTGGAGGTTGTTCTGGCTGAGAATTCAGAGACTTGACTGAAGACGGTGTCGTATACGGTATAGTCTAATGCGGCTGTACATATATGGGGAGATACTGTATACGGTAAAAGAAAACTTCAACGAGACTACATGTTTGCTGGTGGGCTACCTGAGGTTGTTGTAATAAACAAGCCAAAATGGAATTAAGTCTCCATTGCAATTATTTAGGCACATTGAAGAGTTTTAGACATGAAGGAGAGGAGAGAGAGAGTCAATAATTTTCAATCTCGAATGTGTTCATGGATTTTATAAGCAGTGGAGTTATACGAGCCTGCTAAAATGTGGCAGGGAATATGCTGGTTGTGACAAACATGTTGAATGCAGTGAGTGAGTGAGCAGGTTGGCCTGTGTTGAGGCAGATGAATGAGGGGAACGATGGACTGCGTGTAGCGGGTGCAGAAAATTGGCTTACAATGTCTGCCACTAGTGATAGGGACGAGACCACCTATTCTGAGTCTGATTCAAAACCTTGAGGGTAGAGACTGATTTTGAGGGAGGCAAGGCTGAGTTGAGACACAGTCCAGAAAAATTCTTAAGATCATGATTTAAATTTACAATCATCACCCCTGCTAATATTTAAAAGTAAAATTGTTATTTAAACATGGTCGTAAACATTGTCATGAGATGTATTTCAATCAATGACAGAAGGAAGAAAATCCTTTGATTGCAAACATTAGTATTTAACCAAAAATGCACAGCTTTTAACCCTAACCCTAACCCTGCACATCAATAAACAACAATTTGTCCAGTTAGTATAAATTAAAAATGCCTGCAGAAATGGCAAAATAATCAAAGAACTCATATAAACAAGCAGTTAACATAATACCTGTGTAACTCACCAGAGCTTCTGAGATCTAACCACATGGGACCTAAATGGTGAAAAAAAAACAGCTAATAACCAGCTTATACTGCTAGCTGGTTTTAGCTGGTCTACGATGGTCTAAGATGGTCTTAGATGATTATGTTCCAGCTCTTACTGGTCGTTGATGGTGTAGCTGGGTGGGTCACCAGCTGGTCACGCTAATGTGGCCAGTCTATCATGCTGGTATGGACCTAATCAGCTAAATCCCCTATAATTACCATAATTTGCTGGTTTGATAAAAACCAAACCATCAAACCATCATGCAAAAAGATAAGCTGCTTGTGCCAGTTAAGCTGTGTTTTCAGCAGGGTGGTCATCTACTGGTAGACTATGGAAGAAAATTAGATAATCGAGCAGCACCAGTTTGTTAATGTGGGGCACTGGGGTGCCACCCCCTCCAATTTTCTAGAGAAAAAAATATTCTTAAACACACTAAACATAATTAGATAATTGGAAATAATTACGAAGTAGAATTTGTTTACTTGTACAATGCACCTGGTAGTCTGTTAGTAGTCATTAAAAACTGGTTCCAAATTGTATTTGGTTAATTTTTGTTACACGCTACCACAGTTGGCCGGCATGTTCATGTGCTTAAGTACTTAAGAGTGTCCCGTCCCTCAAATAAGCAAAGTGCAGCGCTATTGACATGCTTCTATGGTTTTTGGCTAAGTTTGTAGACCACAATTCACCGCATCAGTGATGCCAAATGTTTACATCAAAGATGAGTAAGCATACCAGCTAATCAGAGTCTGACATGCCTTGGAGGAAGTTTCAATTTAATTGCGCAAAGTTGCGTAACAGATGTTGACATTGGTTAGGCTACAATGAAGGCAAACACAACCAAGTCAAAAAACAACATAGTTGTAGCGTGTCTCTTGTTTACCTCTTCAGATATCAAGTGTGTCCCATTGCTTTCAAGAAATCCCCACACATTCTTCACATACACTTTGCATCTTACATCAACATACATCCCCACAGTGCGTAGTATTTCAGGCCTTGTCCGCGCGTACACAGGTATTTTAAA